TATAGAGTAGTATTAGTACCTCCCTTGATCTTGATTGTATCCCTCTGTTAATGCAATTTAGGATTGCGTTGGCTTTTTGGTTGCCGCCACACACTGCTGGCTCATATTTAATTGGTGTCCACTAAGATTCCAAGATCCCTCTCATGGTTACTGCTATTAGGCCTGGTTTCACCCAGTCTATACATGTACTTTTGATTTTTCTTGTCTAAGTATAAGACTTTATTTTTCTCTACATTGAATTTCATTTTGTTAGATAGGGCCCAGTGTTCAAGTCTGTCAAGATCCATCTGGATCTTGAGCCTATCTTCTAGGATGTTGGCTATTCCGGCCAGCTTAGTATCATCGGCAAATTTGGTAAGTTCCCCTTCTATTCCCTCATCGAAGTCATTTATGAAGATATTGAATATATCTTGTTTATAGAAGGCCGTGTTAAACTATCCCCTTATAGGCCTAGTAGCTGCTACATTCTAACTAGGAAGATAGTTCATCATTAAAGCAGTGACTTCTTTTTCCAGGATTTTGCACAGCCTTAAAAAAGCAGCTGCTTTAATAAGTCAACTTCTCAAAGCAACATCTTTGAGGACATGGATGCCTTGATGAATGGCAGAGCGATGCTTCTCCCACGTCAAATGGTGCTTATCTCCGTTTCAAAGCCAAAGAGCCAGCGTTATCCAAAGACGTCTCCGTGGTCATGTGGCCGGCATGATTAAACGCCGAAGGCGCACGGAACGCTGATACCTTCCCACCAAAGGTGGTTCCTACCTTTCTACTTGCATTTTTACGTGCTTTCCAACTGCTAGGTTGGCAGAAGCTGGGACAAGTCACGGGAGCTCACCCCGTTACACGGTGGTAGTGATTCAAACCGCCGAACTGCCAACCTTTCTGACCTACAAGCTCAGCCTCTGAGCCACCACATCCCAAAGCCAATCTGGTATAGCTACATTAAAATTCCTACTGTAGCAACCTCGCTTCCTTCCGCCAACAATTTCCCAATGGTAGCATGTTAAGACTTCAATGTCTTCAAAGCAGGCAATTGGCCGCTTCCAATCTATCAACTGAAGCATTCGGAAAGAGTGTGAAATGAATCACAGCGATTCAAACAAGGATGGGAGCTTCCTACCTGTGTAGGCAAAATTGAAGGGCATGCCCAGTGGTGCGTGATGCTTGGGAGCTAGTACAGGGTGTGAAGGGTATAAGAAGACGCCATTCTCTCCCAATAATTCCACCATCTCTGTCTGCAGGCTCTGTGCCATGCTTGCTAGCTTGGCATTTGCCTTGGAATTGTATTTCGTCAACTTCTCCGTTATTCCTAGTGCTGAGGGATAAAAACATATTGAGGCAGACCCATTCACAACAAAAACGATTTGTTTCACATGCGCAAATAGACTGTGCTACACCATGCATTGTGGGTGTTTAGATATATGTGGCTTTCTTGATTTTGGGGAGGTGCAGGTCCCCCTAGGAATTCTACCAGACCAGGGGTCTCCAACCTTGGGAACTTTAACCCCCATCGCTGGCTGAGGGATTCTGAGAGTTGAAGTCCACAAGTCTTAAAGTTCTCAATGTTAGAGACCCCTACACTGGAGGGATGAGTAGAGTTCCATGATGTAGAATCATAGAATTCTAGGCTTAAAAGCAGGGTGGATTTGATTTAAATCAACTCGATTTAAATCACGATTTAAATCACTAGTAAAAAGGCTTGATTTAAATCAACTCGTTTTTGAAGAGCAACTATCATCTCCGTCCCTCAGCGGCTCCTCCTCTGATCTGCTGTTGACTCACCAACACTCCCAATATTGCAGAATCTACAGCCTCATATACTAAATAACTAAGCTTCATTTCATGATGAATAAACTAAATTATTAATGTATCTTACATAGAAAGCTAACTTTAGATAAGATATTTACTCCCAAAACGTGTTAACACTAATATTAAGCATTAACCAATTCCGTTGTATACATGGTGTACAATGACAATAAAGGCTATGCTATACTATTTTATTAAAATAAATTTGATAAAAATAAAAGAAAATCTGATTTAAATAAATAAAAATAAATTTAAAATTTTTTTTTTGAATCATTGATTTTTTTATCCACCCTGCTTAGAAGGGATGTTGGAAGTCTTCTGGTCCAATCCACACCCTGCTTAGATCAAATCCTTAGATTTTAAAAAATAGAAGTGGCAAAAGTAACAAATATGAAGAACTGCCCCAGGTCTTCAGTTCTTACCAATGGCTGGAAACGTGTGAGAAGAGAGTCTCATCATCCACTTCACCAGTTCCCATGATGGCCATACTGGTTTTCCATGGTCACCAAGCAAATCAGTGAAAGTTTGATTTTCCTAAAAGGCAACGTGGAAAAAGAGGCATAGATAGATAGATAGATAGATNTTTCTTGAGCCCATCAACATGTCTTTCACTGGGCTTGGTTCCTGCCTGTGCTTCTCCCAGTGATGTCATCAACATCAACCTCCACTTGAGTAGAAGTCCATGAAAAGGTGAAGCAAAGCCAAGGTCCCCGGGCTCTTTCTGCGTGCAAATCGAGAGGGGAACCTTGATTCCTCCTGTTCTTTCTACCAGAGGAGTGCAATTCCATCAAGATTTCTCTTGGTCTAAAATTATTTTCTACGTAGGGAAAAAAAAAAGGAACAGCAGCAGAGGATACCCAATCCTACTCTACCAATGAAGGGTAAAAAAAAGGGGGGGGTTTCACCTCCCAACACCCGTCCTTTGCTCCCAGCCTTGCTTTCCCTGAGGCACCATCCTCCCCACCAAAATCTAGCAAGGAAGTCAAAGAGAAGAGCCAATGGACTCCTTCTCCACTTTGGCTGGGGCCAGCAAATGATCTAACCTGGTGAACACATTCATGGCCTCATGTCTACTCCCTTGGGTTCTGTAGAAAAGGTGGACACAGCCCTTCAAAACCTCAAGCCCAAACCCCTAACTCCAGATTTCACAGGTGGAGAACCATTCTTCTTCTTCTTCATGTCCTCCAGGTCCCGGGAAAGTCGTGTTAGGATTGGCCGGGGGGAACCCAACCACCAAAGGCCTTCTCCAAGTATCGTGCCACGGCTAAGGTCAAGTGGTCATTATGAGGTCCGGCCACCACCTGGATCCCTAAAGGGAGTCCATCCTTGCTCAAGCCGAGAGGACACTGTGTCACCGGCAAGCCCAGAATGTTGAAGATGGCTGAAAGGAAGAAAAAGACAACAACAGAGAGGTCAAAGATTTGGAGCGCTTTTCTGTAAAACAAGAATAAAACATTTGAAGAGGAATCTTTTAGAGCAATGTTTCTCAACCTTGGCGACTTGAAGATGTCTGGACTTCAACTCCCAGAATNGCTATGCACAGTATATATGTGAGTGTATGAAAATGAAAAAATGGAAAATAAAAACCTTTTACAATGGAAAAAAAAGGCAAACTAACAAGCTGTGGAACATCACACTAATTATTTATATCATGGCCCTCTTAGGACGTCTTAAAAACTAAACACAGCGATAAAAATCACCTTAAAGTTTCATCTGAATAATTCTCAACTGCCTAGAAAAATACATATAAAGCAATACAAATCAGCAGAGGGTGTAGTGCAGGGACTGTAGTACAGGTAGAGCTTGTGGGTGGCGTCAAGAGAGGAATCAGCGTGGAATCATTACGTTCCCACAAGCGGTCAAGGTCCAGCCCTTTTTAAAATTCCATTGATTCTTTTCATCTTCTTTGAATGACCCCATAATCTCTTGCGGGGTGGAGTCTGGGCAATCAAATGGAGCTGTGTGTTTACTGGCCAGATGCCTTTCATGTTGCCAATGCAGAGGGTTTTTTTCCCAGCATATATATGATTGTGATTCTTATCTAGCACCAATTTGATGCTGAGCGCAAGTTGACTAGATTATTTGTATACGCATGAGCATTAAATTCACCTTAACTAGAATTTAACATGTGGCCCTGATACTTCGCGCTTGACAAGGGGGATCAGTTAGAGTTGCTGGCCAATTGACCCAACATCAGCAGCTGGAATTCTGGAAAGCAGGTGGTTTACAGCTGGCAGTGTCCACCCTGGAAGTCATTTTGTGAGGACACTCTCAAAATCTCCAGCAAAGGTTGACTGTCCCGCTGTAAAGTGCTGAAATGTCTCTTCGGACACCACTTCCATTTGGGGGACAAGATATCTTGACACACTTACGGAGGGCTAGAGTTGAGAACAGGCCTCAACATCTTCAACCGTGAGCATGTTTCAGCCACTTGATTCCTGACAGGTACCAACAGCCTTAGATGATGTTCACAGATGACAATGGTTTGAAGTGAATAAAAAAAAAAAGTCAACGACTACAGATCTCCAGGATCAGGTAATATATTACACTATATTGATTTGTCAAGGACAGACAGGAATACATATTTCATCCTAGTGGGCCCATGAGAATCAACTGATGGGACCACAGTTTTCCATCACAGGCACCCCAATCCAAAGAAGTGGTGCGTGCAACACAGTTAAGGATCAACCATCAACAGGATAAAGTCCTTTTGGCAACATAAAGCATGAGTTGGACTCCTGGTTCCAAAGACCCTCATCTGATTGCTACAGAAGGAGGAAGAGGAGGGGGGGGGAAACCGTTGAGATGATTGTAGAGGAGAGAGGGGAAAGGAGTTGGGGCTGCAAAGCAAGATTTCTTGGTCCTTCCTCCTCATCCCAACCTAGGCTCCCCACGTCTGGTGTGGAAAGCAGTTCAGGGTAGAGGGGACCCTTGAACCCCTGGATAAGCCTGCGGGAAAAGCAGGCTCCCTTCTCTTGTTTTCCCCAAAGCATCGTGCCTGCCCAGCAGAACCAAAGGAGACGCAGCTGATTGTGTAAAGTGGCATTCAGTGATCCGAAAAGTGGGCTCTGCACCTGCTGGAATATGCTAGGAAGAAAGAAGAGGAAGAGAAGAAGAGGAGGAGGAGGAAGAAGAAGAGGAGGAGGAGGGGAGGAGGAAGAAGAGGAAGAGGAGGAGGAGGAGGAGGAAGAAGAAGAAGAAGAAGAAGAAGAAGAAGAAGAAGAAGAAGAAGAAGAAGAAGAAGAAGAAGAAGAAGANTGTGTGTGTGTGTGTCAGTGGTGGGTTTCAAAAAACTTTGGAACCTCTTCTGTAGGTGTGGCCTGCTTTCCGGGTCCACTGGTGCAACCTCTTCTAACCGGTTCGGTAGATTTGACGAACCGGTTCTACCGAACTGGTGCGAACTGGTAGGAACCCACCTCTGCATCACACCCATCGGGCAAAAAGACCATGAACGGTTTCCAGATTCTAATAAATGTAGTCATTGCCCTTCCCTTAATCAAACAAATCCTTTAGGCCAACGTTTCTCAAACGTGGCGACTTTTAAGATGTGTGGACTTCCATTCTCATGGCCAGCTGGGGAATTCTAGAAGCTGGAGTCCAGCGTAACTTCAAAGCTGCCCAGTTGGAGAATCCCCGACTCAGATGGGGGACAGCTCCTTAGGCCAATCCACTCAACTGAGTGGACTCCTGCATTACATTCAGCCATGCCTTGCTTTAGCAGTGCGGCTCACCGAATAAACTCCAATGGTGGGTTTGCACAACTCACCCCGACAAAACCCAGCAAATCTGATTATAGTTTAGCCCGCTGCGTGAACCAGGACTCTCTCAAAATCAGCTGGAGAAGAAAATATTTTCTGGTGAGACCAGTCTAGCAGGGCAAGCTGGTCTACTTAAATATGGGATGGAGCATACTGCATACTTTCAGCCCCAATCCAGGATTCTTCGCAGGCAGTCACTTCTGCAACAAACTATTTTTGTGTTAAATCTAAACTGACCGACAAAGAATTAAAGGGAGACTAGTATAGCTATTTCAAGCTGTTTAGCTCTTGTCAGCTAGTCATACCCTTCTGAGATTCGAACCCCGGGCTGCTTGCATATTAGGAAGATGCATTAACCTCTAGGCCACGGGCTCTCCTCACTTTGTCGAGTGTATCAGGGGGAGGGATTAAGTATAACCAGGGCAACCTGGTCTACCCAAATATGGGACGGAGCATACTGCTTCTACTTTCACCCTTTCAGTCCCAATCCAGGAGCCTTCGCAGACAGTCTCTTCCATGACAAACTATTTCATGTTAAATTCAAATTTACTGAGAAATAAAGGGATACTGTTATAGCTATTTCAAGCTGTTTAGCTCTTGCCAGCTAGCCATACTCTTCTGGGATTCAAAACCTGGTCCGCTTGCATATTAGGAAGAAGTATTAACCTCTAGGCCACAGGCTCTCCTCACTTTGTCGACTGTACCAGGGGGAGGGATTAAGTATAACTAGGGCAACCTGGTTTACCCAAATATGGGACGGAGCATAGTGCTTCCACTTTTGTCCTTTCAGTCCCAATCCAGGAGCCTTTGCAGGCAGTTGCTTCCGCGACAAACTATTTTTGTGTTAAATTTCTATTTCTTTGTCGGTAAATTTAAATTAAACCGTGGCACGACAAAACCGCGGTAGGCAAAAGAGCGCCGACTAATACGCGTTGACAAGTACACGTCGTTATTAGCGCGCCCACATTACCGCGTCGATATCAGCGCAACGATGGCAGCACGAAAAGTGGATGCTTTGAATTAACGTTTGTTTTAACCGCAGTATTTTTTAAATGTTTTAAATAAGTTAGGTTTAGGGGTTTAGGTTTAGGATTAGGGTTAGGGCGATTCTTTTGACATTTGAAAGCTTTGACAGCTGCAACATGTTAGCGCGATTGCGCCTGTGTGATGACGCCGCGCTAGCTTCGCGTTTTGCTACTAGATACTATGGAAAGGCGCGGATTTGCCCTAAGCCCTTATGTCTCCGCGCTACGGTCGATTTCGCTTCAGCGATTCTGACAGCGCGGATTAGACCTTCGCGCTTATGTCTCCGCGCCGAAGGGCTTCGCGATATTGTGGTGGAAGCAAATTTAACACTTCAAACTTAATAGCGGTTTCTGCTCGGGAGTTCTCTCTTTTCCTCGGCGGTTAAGGATTCCAGTTCCATCCCGTTAAATCCAGACTGGGCTGATCCACGATCTACTCACCTGAGCTGCCTCCTACAATGCAGTCAAGATTGTAGGGGTTGTTAGATCGTCCGTAGACACAATTGCTCGATTCAAACCACATGCACAGCTCGCTGCAGTTGGTCACCCCCAGGGGAATCGCGCCCGCCTGCTTCAACCGGGATACCACAATAGCGTCCGTGGCGGAGATCACGTTGCGGCGGTTAACCAATCCAGAGGAATTGGGCATCCCTACCAAGACGCAGAAACGAAGACTTGAAAGTGGTCAGCGTTTCACCTTGTCCGAGAACCCACAAAAAAGGAAAAGGAGAAAAGAAGACACTTCTCCGAAGAGCAACATGGCTCTTGAAACTGCACAGTGGCATTGCAATGAAGGATGCACTTATGCGACAACTACGTACACGAGGGAATTGTGCAGTTTCTTTCTCATCTGTGATTAAGCACGAAGTTCAGGGTGTTATAACGTGCATATATGCAGGGATGAACCTACATATATTCAGGTTGTGTGAAATGTGTCGCACATTTCTTCTTTCTAACCGTAGAAACCTCCCTTCCCTCATTGTTTTAACCCCTGTTAGGGCAAGCCTGCCCTACCAGCGGAAAATCCCCCATTTTTTAAATTTCTGCTTGTGTTCTTCAGCACTGGCCCTATCTGACACCCAATTTTCCAATGTTAGGGCAGGCTTGTTTTTCTTTTTGATGTACCGTATTTTTCGGAGTATAAGACGCATCTTTTTCCCTCAAAAAAGAGACTGAAAATCTGGGTGCATTTTATACACTGAATACAGCATTTTTTGCCTCCTGAAACCCTGCTCCCTTCACCAAAATGGTCATGCAGACCCTTTAGGAGGCTTTCAGAGAGCTCCTGGGGGTTGGGGAGGGAAGAAATGAGGGGGAAACGGGCTGTTTTTTGCTAAATTTTGCCTCCCCCCTTGCTCCCAGGAGCACTCTATAAGCTTCCTAATGCCCTTTTTTGGACAAAAAAATGGGCCCGTTTTTGCAAAAAAAAAAACCGCCCGTTTTTTGCTCGTTTTTTGGGGCACCACGCTCCAGGAACATTTTACAAGCCTCCTAAGGGCTATTCATGCACTTTTTTTGGAAGAAAAAAAAACAGGCCCATTTTCGTGAAAAGCGGGCTGTTTTTGGGAGGTTTGCAGAGTGCACAAACTTTTTTTTTTAAATGCCTCTTTAAAACCTTGGTGCGTCTTATACTCCGGTGCGTCTTATACTCTGAAAAATACGGTACTTCTGAGTAGGGTTTTTTTTTTTAATTGTCATTTGTCCGCAGACAATAATCTTACAGACTAGAGCAGTGGTGGCTAATCTTTTGCTCCTTGTGTGCCAAAATCGCAGGTGTGCACGCGACAACACGCTCGTGCATCCACACCCATAATGCAATGCGCTCCGCCCCCTGTGCATGCATGCACAACCCCCCACACTCCTCCTGCACTTGCGCGCAACTCCCCTGCGCCCCGTTTTGGGCCTAGCAGATCTCCCTGAAGCCTCCTGAAACCAAAAATGGAGTGCGGTGGAGTGCCACACCCCCTCACCCCCTGCATGCACATGCCCCCCCATGCACGTACATCTCCCGAAAATCAGAGACCCGAAAATCAGCTGGTTGGAGGGAGGTGCATGCGCAGGGCAGCTGAGCTGGGTGACGGCTCGCATGCCGTAAGTTCACCATCACGGGACTTGAGCATTTAACTGCAAAACTATTAGATATATCTTGTGATCTGCTAAGGAGGGTCTGTCCTTGCCCTTTTTCTGCATACCCAAAATTCCTAACTTTGTTGTAACTTTGCTTCATGGAAAAGACTTGAAATTCTGGACTACATTCTTTTTTTTTTCCCCCAGAATTTTTATTTTTTATTTTTTGTTCTCTTGCATACCATTGTAAGTATACATTCACATAATTGTTATTCTTCTTTACATTTGTCATTCTTATACAATTATTATTTCATTTAATAGGTTGTAATATACAGTTTGGGTTGCTTTATTACCATCCCTTCTTCCTGTTGTAACACCACCTTATTTCCTCTTTCTTTTCTCCCTCCCTCCCTTCTCTNTGGATGGATGGAGAGAGGGAGATAGGGATATTTCCTTCTTTTGGCTCATCTCTTCATTCTTAGTATCATTTTTATGGAAAGTTGCAGCTGTCTCTGCGTTTTCAGAGGACAATTAAGTAACATGTTGCAGGATCCAATCTGGGTTGGTTCACTGATACCAGAGGTTTAGTCTTTTGCGCTTTTCATGCTGGAGGCCATCCTCAGAAATCTCCTCTCTACTGAAATTGTGTGCTTTTGGGCTCTTCTATGTTTAGTATTTGTGTAGTGCCTGGTTGGTTGGTTGTGGTGTTGATGGTTGGAGATTGGCTATCATTTTCCTTGTGCTGCTGAGCACTTGACTCCAGAGATGGCATTCAGCAGCTTTTGATCAGTCACAGAGAACCAGTAGTGGAAATTTTGAGTGGTTTAGAGAACCGGTAAATACCACCTCTGGCTGGCCCCGCCCCCCATCTATTATCTGCCTCCCGAGTCCCAGCTGATCGGGAGGGAATGGGGATTTTACAATATCCTTCCCATGGAGTGGGTGGGAATGGAGATTTTACAGTATTGTTTCCCCTGCCACGCCCACCAAGCCACGCCCGCAGAACTGGTAGTAAAAAAAATCTGAATCTCACCACTGCTTGACTTCTAAGTACCAGATAGGTTTATGATAAATCAACACTCCTGTTGACTGATAAGGGGCCCCTTTCCCAGGCTTCAATCATTTCCCTGGCTATTTTTGTACCTGCTCGGCCAACAATCTTGTGTTCTTGCAATCTCCTTGTCTGTCCGACATGGGCAATCTATGCATACCAGATCTTCTCTTGGCAGGGCCCAAAGTTGGATGCCCCTGTTTTAGAGGATCTTTCATTTGGGGGGGTTCCACTTAAGGGGTCTGTGCTCCACCTACACTGCTCCACCTGCACCTTTGTTCTGGGGGGAGGTGTCACTGATGCAGACTGGAGAAGATACTCTGGAAAGGCGGTTGCTTTTCCAAAAATGGTACGACATCAAGGCCAGGAATGGTATGGCACTCCTTGCCCTTCTAGATGTTTGCCTTTTTTTCAATCCCTCACCTCAGGCTGCTCCGTGCCTGGAATCACCAGCCAGCTTGAGTATCCGTAATAATGTGTGTGTGTATAGCCGGGCATGCATATTTAGATATGATGTTCAACTCAGTGTTAAGTAGATTTGCCTATCCAGATAGCATGCATACCAGATCCCCTGCATGAATCCCCTGTGATTTTGTAAGACAGATGTGGAGGGAGGGAGGGAGCTGTTCTGAGCAAGGCTTCCTGAGCCTGAAGCAAACTCCTTGTCCCGATAAAAAAACCCTTTTATTAACTGACTGTGAATTCTGCTCATTCACATCCAGCAAAGTCTTTCAAGGGAGGATTTACAGTCACAGACCTCATCTGGTTTGGAGAGCTGACAGGCTCTCCGAGGTCAACCAGAGCCCTAATGCGGCGCTCAATGAAGTAGAGTTTGACACCCCTGCTCTAATAGATTTCCATCCTTGGGGAGTGGGGGGGAAGAGGGAAGATTTGCCTTTGACATACCTGATTATCACTGCTCTTGGAAGACATCATAACTGACCAGATTTGGAAGGAATATTTCATTTTGCTGATGGCCACGTTCTCCACCTCAACCCCCAGGTCCGTCTCTAAGTGTGCCACCGTCTTTAGGACAGCAAAGGGGAGGAGAAAGAGAAAAGAGCCGTCAGCTTCAGTCTCAAACTTTGACATGAAATATTAACGGAAGGAGGAGGAACTCTAACAATTAAAGAGCTACCCTGAAATCTTGAAAGGTTTTTAAGCAAGAAAATAAATAAACCACACATATGAATATATTGCTTCGCTGAAGGACCACAGTGTTCACTTAATGACAGCTGCAAAAAATCCATAATTCACTTGGGTGCTTTGATTTACAACCGTCGGGGCTTACAATGGGAATTCTAGGCTTTGTTATGGCCGTACGTCGAGGACTTCTTCCTGTACTGTAAAATTTCCAGGTCTCAACTCAGCTGACTTTCTACTCCTGCTTTGGGAGATGCCTGGATTTGAACCCAGGAGGTTCTGCGTACAAAACTGGTGGCCCAACACGTTGAGCTACAGGCCTTTTTATGATTCTCAACAAGACAAGGTCCAGATCTCTCAAGCTACAAGAGAGAACTAACCCAACGAATTTCAGCCCAGCTGACAACACTGCCATTGACAGGTAGTCCTCGACTTACAACCATAACCCAGCCCGAAATTTCTGTTGTTAAGTGAGCGATGTGTTAAGTGAGCGTTGCCCCATTTTATGACCATTCTTGCCACACTTGGTAAATGAATTGCTTTCCGTTAGTCACCCTGCCGTTAAATGAATCTGGCTTCCCCATCGACTTCGCTCGTCAGCAGGTTCGCAAAAGGGGATCACGTGACTCTTGGGACACAGCCACAGTCGTAAGTGTGAACCAGTTGCCAGGCCTCTGAATTTTGATCCCGTGATGCTGGGGACGCTGCAAAGGTCGTAGGTATGAAAAACAGCCACTTTTATCAGCGCCTTGTCACTTTGAACGAGGAACGCGGTGGCTCAAATGGCTAAAACGCTGAGCTTGTCGATCGGAAAGGTCGGCGGTTCGAATCCCTAGTGCCGCAAAGCAGTGAGCTACCGCTACTTATTCCAGCTTCTGCCAACCTAGCAGTTCGAAAGCACATAAAAAATGCAAGTAGAAAAATAGGAACCACTTTGGTGGGAAGGTAACAGCGTTCCGTGCACCTTCGACATTTAGTCATGCTGACACATGACCATGGAGACATCTTCGGACAGAACTGGCTCTTCAGCTTTGAAACTGAGATGAGTACTGCCCCCTAGAGTCGGGAACGACTAGCACGTATGTGCAAGGGGAACCTTTACCTTTAACTTGGAACAATCACTAAATGAACTGTAGGGCCACCTGTATTTAAGCTGCTATCTGATTTCTGCAATGGCACTCAAGCTTTGAAGCAACCAAAGTCAACTTCTTCTTACTTTCCGATGAGCTTGGAGGATCTCTTTATCGACCGGTAAGAGGAAAATGGAGCCTCCATCATGTTCCATGGAGTAGAACTTGATCTTCTGCAAAGAGACCGGGTCATCCAGCTTCAGTCTGAAGAAGAAGGAATGAGATGGAAAGGGAAGCCGTGAAGAACAATGGAAGCTCTCCTATCTTAAGAGATCATCCATCTGAAATGGGCACATTGGATTTGGTTTAATCCAGCTCCTTGATAATATAATCTACTAGATCAGGGGGGTCAAACTGGATTTCATTGAGGGCCGCATCAGGGTTGTGTTTGACCTCGGAGGGCCGGGGGTGGGCCTGATCATGGTGGGCTTGACAGGGGACTCGTGTCGGAGGGGAAGGCACTTGTGGTGGCCAAGTGCTAGGGCAGGACTTCCCTGAGACCCTCCCTCCCTCTCATAATCTCCTTCCTTCCTTCCTTCCTCCCTCCCCCCTCCCTCCCACTCCTTCCATTCCTTCTTTACATGCATCCATCCATTCCTTCCTTCCATTCCTTCCTTCCACTCTTTCCATTCCTTCCTTTATTTGATTCCTCCCTCCCTTCCATTCCTTCCTTCCATTCCTTCCTTCCTCCCTCCTTCCCCCTCCCTCCCACTCCTTCCATTCCTTCCATCCATCCATTCCTTCCTTCCATTCCTTCATCCCATTCCTTCCTTCCATCCTTCTATTCCTTCCTTCCTTCCATTCCTTTCTCCCTCCCTTCCATTGCTTCCTTCCATTCCTTCCTTCCTCCCTCCTTCCCCCTCCCTCCCACTCCTTCCATTCCTTCCATCCATCCATTCCTTCCTTCCATTCCTTCCTCCCATTCCTTCCTTCCATCCATCCTTCTATTCCTTCCTTCCTTCCATTCCTTTCTCCCTCCCATTCCTTCTTTCCATCCTTCTATTCCTTCCTCCCTCCGTTCCATTCCTTCCTTCCTTCTTCCTTCTAATTTCTTCTTCCTAATTTCTTTCTAGTTTGTTTTGCTAGCCTCTGCCAGCGAAAACAAGGCATGAGGGGGGCTCACGCACGCATGCACGCACACACACGCGCACACGCACACACACACATACAGCACCCCGTTTTCACTAGCAGAGGTGCCATGGGCTGGTCCCTCACTATTTCCAGGCTGGCTCTGAGGTCCAGATCTAAGCACCCCACGGGCCAGATCCAGCCCATGGGCCTTGAGTTTCACAGTTGCACCACAAAACCGTGGTAGACTAAAGCGCACTCGACGAAAGCGCGTACGTGACGTCATCACAGCGCAACGAAAACATCGCGCTGTGA